ATTTTCCCCCGTCGTTAGGGAAGTTGAGTGACAACTCTGTTTTTTACTTCCCCAAGCGGACCTCACCGAGTTCACCTTGCATTAGTGATCAAACTTACCCGCAAAGATGAGGAAATAAAAAATATAACGAACATACGTCAAATGGGCAGAACGGACTACGTACAACTCACGTTTGCCCCCCTTTTTATTCAACTTTCCCCTTCTCATATCTGTTCTATTAATTCATAGAGTCCGCTTTCAATTTATAGCCATGATCCCTTTGTTTGAATCAGGTTATCATCAAACATCAAACATGGTCCAATCTCCCTATTGTTTAGGAAATGGGAACGATACGAGTCTCTATTCGTTCAACAATTTCCTGATTTTTTGTCACATAGCTCCCACCTAAATACAAAGAATAGCACGCGTATGAGCAAACTACTCTGAAGTCATGTTTTGGAAGAGTTTTTTTTCTATTCTTTCGATTCGGTCATGTAGGTATTACCACCAAAAAAAAATGAATAAATAAATAAATCGGCTTTATTGTGAACCTTGGAAGTTAATTCTAAATATTAGCCATGTTAGTTGAGCAATATTATGGTCTTGTTGCAAAAGAGGACGACGTTAACATAGTTTTTATTTAATACATGATCAAGCTTTAGAACCTCATTCATTTTAAGTTTCATCAACGGATCATATAACTCAAATATGGCTCGGAATAGATTTCAAGTTACATTCATTCCATATGCAAAACCAGCCTTGTCTAAGAGGAAGGAGAGGTGCTATCGCCCGATCATGATTTAAAAAAAAAACCTTGTCGGCACACTTCTGTCGGCTTTCATTTATCATATATTTCCAAACGTACAACATTTTTGATTGTTTGTTTGATTTTATTTCTGCATTTTTTAACATATTAAAAAAAGGAATTTACAAACTAGGTAAATATATATATATATTTAACAAAAGTCAAAATACATACATAATTATATCATAATATAAATCAATTGAATCCCTTTAAAAACAAACAAACACATACTGTAGTTGACATCTCATTTCAAAATTTAAAAAATACAGGAGACCGCCATCATGTGCTAGAGCTTGAACGTTAGGTGGCCCCAATATCTTTGGCTACAACTTTCAACCCGAAAAATTTTATTTTCCTGGCCTGAGCTTTTATATCTAAAGCGTTATTGTATAATACCTTTTTTAATAAATTCTGAATAAGCTCACAAAAGACTTTCGAGAATCGACTCAAGGGCGATATCAATATGAAATTGTATTGCCAGTAGGAGATATGTTGTCATTATTATATATGTTATGTTCGCAAAGTTCAATGGATTAAACTACTGAAATGTCCTAGGTTGATTTGTTTAAAGTCTAAGAGATCATGTTTCTACTTTTTAAAGTCAATACGTGGGTCACAAAAGATATAAATACGTCTACGATTACCTCCTGTTCGCGTTGAAAATACTTTTTGATTTTTACGATTCATTTCTTTTCTTCTTCTTCTTCAAATCTCCAGGTTCTGACCGTCACCAGACCGATGAACAAATCCGTGAGAGTAGCAAGAGGATAAGGACGGCATTCACGAGCACGCAACTTCTCGAACTCGAGCGGGAGTTCGCGGCCAACATGTACCTCTCTCGACTACGACGAATCGAGATCGCCACCTACCTCAATCTCTCAGAGAAACAGGTTGGTAATCCTTTTTCGTTGGATAACAATACTAACTTCATAATTATATCGCGGTCATTTACGTCATACTGTGACGCTCATGGTGTTTCGACATGTTACCCACGGTCATAGCCGAGCCGCCAAAGTAACAAAAGCCCAAGCACGTCATGTACCCATTTACACTTGGGAAGAGAGTAGCAAATGAGGATTAATAAATGACTTTCATGCCCGCCTGAGATTCGAACCCTCAGCCTTACGATTGAAAGTCAAATGAACGAACCACTATACCTTGTCACCTGTGTGATGTCACTGTCACACCGCCAAATCGACTCCAAAAAGATTCTACTCGATTATTGGGAGTAATGTTTTATTTTGTTCCCTCATATTTCATCGGTGGGGTACATCGACAAATCGTCTCCAAATCGACAAAAACCTTGGTAATGCAATCCACGCAATTTTTAGTAAGGGCTATTGTCGATGTGATTGAGGTGATACCCACCCCCCCCCCCCTTGTCCTTCCCGTCACCTGCCATCACTGCACCATCCTAAAAATAATTCCCTAACTTTAATTTAAAAGGTGCTTCGAATTATTTATCCGTTACGCCTTAACTTTATACATCATCATCATATTTGAATAAATGTTCCTTTTTTATATTTCCTCCTAATTCATTTATTACTACTTTCTGTCTTCTTCTTTTCACTTCCCTCTATTCGGAGCCTCCTATATATATCTTCTTCATCTTAACAAAATTGGGTGTCATTTACTATTTACCAATCATTTCTTTCTTTTCCTATTCCTTTTTTTTTGGGGGGGGGGCCGGGGGTCACTTTTGTCTTCACCTTGGTACTAACCCCTTCCTGCATGCAGAAAAATAGAAAGAAAGGTCGGCCTACTAATATGTGAACCTGTCAGTAAAGTCGGTGATTTTATTCGCAACTCTTCTTTTCTTTTCTTCTTCAGGTCAAAATCTGGTTTCAGAACAGGAGGGTCAAGTACAAGAAAGAGGGTAAAGGTCACCCGGGTTCACCTCAGTCACATGACTGCAAGTGCCATCACCAAGTGACGTCATCACGTAGCAACGGTCACGGGCGACATCATTCGACGTCCTCATCGATCGTGGAGACATCGACGACAATGATCTCGCCAAGCGATGACGAAGAAAAACTGTCGTCTGAGGACACCGCTGATAACTGAAACCCGTGATCGATCACCGTCATCTACAATCGTTGTTTTTCTCTGTCTGATATCGTCTTCTTCTAAATAAACAACTCAAATTCCCTTCTTCTGACTGTCATTTTTTAAAACTCGGCCTACAATTCTTTAATAATAATAATAATAATAATAGTACAGTTCTAATAAAGCGCATAATACATTTGTTAACATCTCTACGCGCTGTAGGAAAATGAAAAAGAAAAAGTAAATACTAGTAAGGAAAAAGAAGAAAAAAAACAAACAAAGAGATGATTTTTTTTTTCAAGAGAAGGGGCTCTATTAACTTCGAAATAACACGTGATAATCAACAGTTATATCGATTGCTAATATATGCCTCATAAACTTTGTTACGATACCAACATTGTTATAAATAGTGGGGGAAATGAGACATTATTTGAAAACCTTCTTACAATTAAGTAACGTTTCTGCAGTTGTGTATGCAAAGACAAAATAAACTGGTGTGACGAAACATACCCCGAATGCTCCCGAATCCCACGTGTTATGTAGGCCTTTGGACATGCCCCCACCCTCCAAATACATTGAACTGCGACCTCTTTTTATACTTAGGAATACTGTTGGATAATTTCTCATACTACTTTCCCACAGTATTTTTCTCCAACTGCCCTGGATTTTTTTGGGGTGCACTTTCTTCGCCTTGTGCTGGATACTCCGCTAATCTGGATCTGTTTGGGAGTGGAAAGACTACCATTTAGACATGTTTATGTATATTTGAAGATTTGAGAACGAACAATTACGTTGATAAGTTTTCAACTCATGAAGGGTAAAGTTCTCTAGAGAAAAAGAAGAAGAAAACGGGTGCGTTCTACGGACTAAATATTGCAATAAACGATTTTGTTTAGCACCAAATACTAAATAATGAAGCCACATGTTGCCTAAGGTACGTGATTTATGAGGTAGCAGCATTCTTTTTTTGCCTCACATACATTTACAATACGCCTTAAATATTTACCCGAAAGGGTACTTTAAATCAATTGAATATGAGCTCATGGAATATTTCGCTTTGAAGACTTTAACGACAAATTAGACAAAATTTCACTTGCTTCAAATAGCTGTCACTGAGTCCATGCTCATGAATTATATTTTGAACAAATGCTGCTACCTTGGAATGAATCGAGCAGGAATTCTATTTTTGTAATCATTTAACCTGTACGTGTGGATGTTTTGCAATTATTTATTTTCTGAATATATATTTTTCTGCGTGTACAGCTATGTCTTTATAGAGCACTTTGCTCAATTTAACTTGCCATTCTAACTTTTAATACTCGCTACGTATTACGAGAGAGATGGGCAATATCTTGCTCGAATATGGTGAATGTAATACACATTAATGCATATATTGGTTTAGGGGAAGAAAGAGACTTACTTGTGTTCCTTTTTGCAAGCCTGACATGAAACAATGGTTGAAAGTACAAACCACAAAAGATGATGATTTGACTGAATCATGCAAACATGAATTGCGTGTTTTAATATAACAGCGAAATTGAAGCACCGGAAAGTAAATTTAATCATTATACTATCAAAATGCAACTGCACAATTTCAAAGGCAAAAGAAAATTCAAGAAAAACTGTTATCAATTGGGAATATTCGTGAGCAATCTGATAATAAACGATTAGGTATACTTTAAGTGACACCATTTATTTACAAAACACGTATTAAGGTGCGTTTGTACGCCGGAAAAATAAAATTGAATGCATATCAAAACTAATAATCATTGTAGATTTTCATTTGTTTACTGTGACGAAAAGGGGACTTTCCCCAACACATGAAATTAGTTTTAAACTTTATAATGCGTTTGGTCAAGACAGATTATTTTTATGAGGAACTAAATGCGACACACATTAATCGAAATAATTTAACTAGTAATGAAGAGAAGAAGTTTTCAAAACTACTGTGACGAAAGTTCCAGAAATATGTATTTTGGGGTTATATTCTTCGGTATTGTGCAATTAGTTTCATGCTATCTGCATAGCTAGCTTAACATTTTACAGTTGGTCATTTTTTGTGCGCTCTGTTTATTCTGGACTTTGTTTGAAATTTTTAATTTGTACATGATGCACATACCTGTACTCAATTATTTATTTATTTATTTATATAATTAATTATCCATCTACTCGTTGATCTATACTCAGACCTTTACATTCCATCTTATGTTTGTATAATAGTATTTGTACAATAATATACTTTTGATTCTTGTAAATCTGTTTGTATGAAATTATCAATTTGTTTTTTAGAAATGGAAAAGAATATATCTTGCCAAAATAAAAAAGTGTTAATTTGTACATTTTTGTTTCATTTTTGTGGATAATTGATTCATGATGATGAGGACGATGATGTCGATGGCTATGGCTATTCCGTGATGACGATAATGATGATGATGGTTGTGGTGATAGTGATAGAGGTGATGACGAAGATGGTGACTGTAATGTAATGATTATGATGACAAGATTGATTAGTCGGAGAAGGAGGAGACAGAGAGAGAGAGAGAGAGAGAGAGAGAGAGAGAGAGAGAGAGAGAGAGAGAGAGACGGGGGAGAGAGAGAAGGTGGTGTTGATTTTTATGACGATGATGATGATGATGAGGAGGAGGAGGAGGACGACGACAACGACGATGAGGACGATGACGATGATGATGTTGTTATTGTGCTTACGATGGTGAATAATTAATGGTGATGGCTAATATAATGTTGAAACTAGGACGATATTAACGATATGGTATGTAACACGGGTAATGATGTCATTGGAAAATGGCTAAAGTGACGGTAATAATGATGAAAGCTGCATGATGAAATTATGACAAAAACGAATTTTTAAATTTTAACAACAGGGCACTGACGATTCATATCTTGGTGAGTCATGTGCACGGTGTTAGGAACTGTCATACTCAGTTTAATGCTACAGAAATGGCGATTTCGATCATGTTGATATACAGTATATAATTTATGCGAATATTGTTTCCTCATCACATTAGTTCGTTTCGATTGAAAAATAATACGAAACACATGCATTATCATGATGATTATGGGTGGTATGAAAAACTAAGAGAGCACCTCGATCATTACTCGAATAAGACGCGAATGATTTAAAGCCCCACTGCACTACTTATAGCCACTTGCGCCCTCTACAATGCCCAATCGGTGCCTGTTGGTCACCTATGATCCCCTTTTCTTATGTTAATTAAGAGCTGATTTGATCAGATAACCACCTGTCAGTGACCTTGCAGGAGGTCCAATCCCCCTGGCCAAACTAGTGCAGACGGGCTTTAAAATCTCTAAATTCACATAGGAGGGCTGCAGCCCAAAGACTCCCTGCAGCCCCTATGAAATAATGAGGTTGGAAATGAATGATATTTATGATGACTCTATAAATCATAACGAACATCGACAATAACAATGACAAACACAATCCTGAAAAATACTTGTGTACTCTGATGACAATGAGATTGAGATTTATCTCAAGGGATTGTCCATCGCAAGAAAAGCTGAGAGTCTCTCCTTTACTATCTGGTCCGTCACGGGATTATCATTTATTTGAAACTTCGTCAGGACACGTTAGCGTTATGAATATCACTTTCTGTAACAACCCTTTATACATGTATATATTTGATAAATTCCTCATTTTTGGTTTGGAAACTAACATTTCTACGAAGTGTAACAAAAAACGCATCTTTTTGTGTTTGAAGATGCAAATGACAATAGTCCTAAGTATTTGAGATCATCTTCAATGCCTGCAAAACGTGATCGCCAAGACTTCCAAAAATCCAACTCTGGTGCAATTGCAATACCCTATCATATACCTCATGTTCCGATTACGTAATATGATATTGTAATGTTCTCCCACATGTGATGGTGGAGACTATTAAAGCCCATCAGTACTAGTGTAGAGGAGGGATTAGACCAGACTACAAGGTCACTGGACAGGTGGCTATCTCATCAAATCAGCTCTCAAATAACATAAGAAAAAGAGGATCATGGGGGACCAATGATCACCGATTATGCATTGTCTGTTATAGAGGGCGCAAGTAGCTATAAGTAGTGCAATGGGTCTTTAAAAAGCCATTCAGTACTAGTGTAGAGGAGGGATTAGACCAGACTACAAGGTCACTGGACAGGTGGCTATCTCATCAAATCAGCTCTCAAATAACATAAGAAAAAGAGGATCATGGGGGACCAATGATCACCGATTATGCATTGTCTGTTATAGAGGGCGCAAGTAGCCATAAGTAGTGCAGTGGGCCTTTAAAAGGCTTTATGATCGTGTTAAAGTTATAAATAAAGTTATATTTAGAATGAAACATATCCAGACGTGCTTTATGGAAGAAGATTAGACTTTCCAAATCCCTCCCCCCGCCTTCGTTTTGGAGCGTGTCGGGTGACTTATTCGGGTGTCGTATATTATTACCATAGCAACCTTCTCATCTCTAGCAGCTATTTCAAAACTATCCTCTCACAATTCTGTTCTGTTTTTTCTTTTTCTTTTGACGGACTATAAAGAAAACTTTCGTACCCGATATCGTAAAATTTAACTAGCTTGCGTGGTCTCCGTTTCTTATCTCGCTTTGATGTGAACCGGCACCAACCGATTGTGAAATCTTCGTGGATTTTTTTTTCCAGTGGTATAAATAATATTACAGTTAATTTGTAGATGGTCGGCTCAAAAAAAAAAAAAAATCTGTGAAGAGATACATACAAAGGGGTGGTTTGTTTTTCTGCAAAATATCATTGACAGATTGTCTAAATGATCATTTATTTTTGTATCTGATACCCAAACTTGGTCTCTTGTTCCGTCAGTCGAATGAAAATCATTTTTTGACTGCATCGTGATTATGGGTGTGACAAACAGTCGCGGTTCTAAAAGGAGGCTTTGGGGCTCTACCCCCCTCCCCCCAAAAGAAATGCAAGAACCTTCAAACCCCCAAGCACCCCTCCCAAAATATTTTAGAACGGCGCCTGGTGACAAAATGACGCTTGTTTTAATTAGAGACGTCCCTTACAATTAAAGAGCGAATTGGTAAAAAATGAAATTAAAAAAAAAAAAAAAACATATACAGAATGTTTATGTTTAAAAAAAAAATCGGACAACGAATA